CCAAAAACTGCAGTCACCCAAGAAAACGTTGATGATGTGCGTAAGCTGATTGAGGAAGATCGACATGTGACATACCGCGAAATTCAGGCAACTTTAAACATTGGCATGAGTCAAATACAAATAATTTTGCACGAACAATTAGGTGTAAAAAGTTGTTTTCCCGACGAATACCGCATTCGCTCTGTGAAGAGCAAAAAGCGGCTCGCGTTACTTGGTGCGTCAGAACTCTCGAAAGATTCCACGCAGGATCCTCAAATGCTGTATACAACATTGTATCAGGTGACGAATCCTGAATATACGTGTACGAACCCGAAACAAAAAACCAGTCACGAGTTTGGGTGTTCGAAAATGAGTTAAAGCCAACAAAAATTGTTCGTTCACGGAGTGTTGCAAAAAAAATGGTGGCCACGTTTGTCTCCAAAACCGGCCATGTTACAACTATTCCTCTTGAGGCACAAAGAACGGTTAATGCAGAATGGTATGCTAGCATTTGTTTGCCACAGGTCGTTTCTGAACTCCGTAAAGAGAACTGTAACCGCCGCATCATCCTCCATCACGACAATGCGAGTTCTCACACCGCACACAGAACAAAAGAGTTTTTAGAGCAAGAAAACATAGAATTATTAGACCATCCGCCGTACAGCCCCGACCTAAACCCTAATGATTTCTATACTTTCCCTAAAATAAAGAATAAATTGCGTGGACAGAGATTTTCATCACCTGAAGAAGCTGTGGACGCCTACAAAACGGCCATTTTGGAGACCCCAACTTCCGAATGGAATGGTTGCTTCAATGATTGGTTCCATCGTATGGAAAAATGTGTCAAATTTCGCGGAGAATACTTCGAAAAGCAATAAATACATTTTTAAATAGTAATGTTGTGTCACTTCCTTGATTCCCGAAATTTTCAGTGCCGCCCTCGTACTGGGCACAAGCCGTAGAGTTTTTGGCCAAAAAAGTGTTCGCTGCGCTGGTTCCAACGCGGGATGAATGTAATGTAAATGATTAATATTTACATCGTATATTCAGTAACATTGTATTATTTCATTTTATCAATGACTTGCCATTTTAGTTTATTCAGAAGTAAGTTGGTGGCGCTAATATTAGATGAAATAATGAAAGCCCAAACTATACTATCCAGTAATATCAGCAATAGAACCGAACATTTATTTATTATGTCAATAAGGGATAAAATGATGTCAATTCTCTTAAAAGTTCTGTTTCTGTTAAAAAATAGGCTATCAGCGCCGCTAGCGGTGAAAAACGATTTAATGATATCGTCTTATGACCATATTATGAAATAGCAACATTGTTTTTAGTTATTAATAATATCTTCAAACAATTTCTATTCATTGATTTGGGCAAGCTATATCATGATATAGTCAACAAATAATGTTAAATATCATGAAATGACCACACCATTTCACGAAATGATAGACTACTTTATGATATATGATCAATTCTACGATCTGGCCACGACATACATAAAAATACTAACTGATGAAAATTTTGCAACAATTGCAGACAGACCAGTTTTAATCACTTTACATATTAGTAATTGAAATATCAATTTTAGGTAGGGTCAAGAGTACTCGGATACCTAGACGTGCATGTATGAAGAAGATAATGAATCTGAAAGAAGCGAAAGAGATATGTAAGGATCGTGACACTTGGCGATCTGTTCTCTCTGGCTACCCCGTCAGGGATTGTGCGTGAAGATAAAAAAAAAAATATCAATTTTCATATGTTTGATAGACGTCAGTGTTATCTATTGAAATTATTATACTTTAACAAAAATACTAAAAAAACTAAACGTTAGAATTTTTTAATAATTTTAAAAACCTAATCATTTACTCATATAAATGTAAGTTATTTATATTATTTCATTTATTAGTAACTGAAGGCAAAATATAGTACTTTTTCCATTTGGTGATAGATGGCGCTGTTTTGAATACCAAATCGGTGTATTTTCAAATTATTTTACCAAGGGTATAACTATATTTTAAACTTTATTTACAAACATGATATTTATTTGAAAAACACCCGTCATCCCTCCTATAACTAAGATATAATAGAAAATTAACATCTAAAGGAAATAAAATACTTAACCTTCCTTTTTGAAGGTCCGTAATCGGATAAAAAGTAGCCTATAAGTTGCATCGGGTTACTGACTACCAGCATACAAAATTTCATGTAAATCGGTTCAGTAGTTTTTGCGTGAATCCAGAATACACAGACAGACAGACAGACAGACAAAAATTCTAAAAACCACTAATTTTGCTTCAGAACCCTTTATTTAGTCCCCTGGACTTGTTTTTTCAAGAATATATTAGAATTACAGACACGACTTTTCTACAGATTTATTATATGTATAGAAATCTAAATAGATAATTAATTATCCTTTACTGTCACTCAGTGGCGTAGCGTGCCTTACATGGGCCCTGTATCAAAATTTGTTGGGCGGCCCCAATGAAGAGCAAAGATTTCATAAAAGGAACAAAAACACTTGCATTGAATTAAAATAATTATATATTGATTTTAAGTTATTACAATTAATACTCCTAGGAACTAAGCTACCCAAACAATTCAAATATACAATTTTCGTGCCTTCTGTTCGGCGAACATAGCTGAAGACGATTCGGCGGCATTCATAGCTGAAGGCGATTTCAGTTTTACTAAATTCTTTGCTTCTATAGATTAGATTTTTATACGTGGTAAAGCCATGCTGCAGCTATATTAGTAGTATAGGTGTAGCACGAATGGGTCGGCTCGACCGGGGAAGGACCACGCTCTCACAGAATACCAGCGTAAAATAGCAGCTTAACACTGCTGTGTTTCGTATGGTGAGTGTAGAGAACCGGAGACCCTTTTACTGGAAAAGAGGCATTCCATCTTAGTCCTTACGGGTGACAACGCATCTGCATTTTGATTCGCAAACGAGGATAAATGTAGATGTCTATGGGCCACAGCAACCACTTACCATCAGGTGGACTGTGTGCTCGATTGTTACCCTATCCTATAAAAAAAAAATAGTGATAGCCTTTCCTGTCCCATAGAAGTCTTTGGAATTTTTGCTCACACACGTTCGGGGCCCCTGTAGCCCGGGGGCCCCGTATCATTGATACGGCTGATACGGCGGTAGCTACGCCCCTGCTGTCACTACTGTGCGTTGTGGGACTCTTTGCCTCTCCATCCATCGTGCTAAATCTCTTCATTGTTTCAAGTATTTTTAAATCGTATTACTTAGAGCGCTGTTAAATAAATTACTTTTCTTTTTCGTAATCTTTTTATTTAATTACTTTATTATATTATATATCATTTAGACTTATCTATATTTATATGTATTTCCATCATTTTTCTGTGCAACCCCCTCTATTTCAATTATTATTTGCATCAGTCCACTACGCAAAAATTATCTGAAAGAGATCACTTTCAGCGTTTATAAGATCGCCTGTTGTACATATTATATTTTAGATTGTACTCCTCTCGCTTTTCTGTATTTTGGTGTACAGTAAAGAATAAATAAATAAATAAATTAGCCTGTCTACATAAGTTACATATTGTTAATCACAGGTCTTCTTTCATTTCTGAAGCAGATAATATCGCGATGTTTTCTTTCACCAATTCACAATTGAGCACAAAGTAAATAAACACTAACTTACAATGTATTAATTATTGTCGTGTCTGCGGAGATCGAACTTGGATTTCTGGCGTACCTGCTATAAAATTTTAGACGATAATACAATCCCTGAGCTATCGTGATTCGTGACACTTATTATTTATCTCTAAAATAAAAATTGGTGTCCGTTAGTCTCGCTAAATCTCAAAAACGACTCGACCGATTTTGATGAAATTTTTTGTGTGTTTGAATGGGTCTCTGAGATGGTTTAAATTTACATTTGAACCCGGTAGGTGGCGCTGTTGTCAAATATCCAGAAATATATTAATAATATGCAATCCTAGAGCTGATTTCAACCGGAATATTGCGGAGAAAGTTGCTGGTTGCAACTAATATCTGAACATGAATTTTTTTGACACAAATAAAACAAGGTTTTATGATTATATTTTAGCAATATCAATAAATTTCGTATGCGCATAAATTACTCGTTCGTTGATCTTTCATATTTACATCATGTATACACTTATACGAATATATTATAATATAATTATATATGATTGTATTATTTTCACCAAAGGTCCTTGTTTAAAGGACCTAATCTACAGTCGTCTATACTAGGTCAAATATGTATGAACATTCTTAATGTGTTATTTATCTATATTTTAATTCAGTTAGGTAGGTAGGTGCTCCTTTATCGTAATTCCATTGCGTTTATTTATGATGGTCCATTGTATAATTTAATCTTAAGTATTTTGTAACACTTGTCCATGAAATAAGTACATTGTTCATTCATTTACTGACAAGATACCGTTAATTTTATTTACAGTTGAAAACTATGTCTAATAATTTAAGTCAATAATATGTCGATATTTTTTTTTTCTGATATAACTGTGCGGTATTTTAAACTTGTTACCCGCTCCCTAACTGTAGATTCACACACGTATGGTACGCTTAAACATATTATATTTCCATCACAAAAAGTATTAAGCGTTTAACGTTTTATAAATAAAGATGCTTCGTAGGAATTAAGGTTATGTTTACATTGTTCAATCTCTGAGGTACTTATATTATTTTTCCTTTTCAAGTTAATAAGTTTTGGCTTTATTTTAAATGATTAAAGTGAAACGTAATACATGTGTAGTAAAAAATTGAAAGCAACATTGTGATATCAAACACCAGTGTGAAATAAAATAACATGTCATCCGTATTCAGTCTAATAATGTTACACGTCGTCTAAACCGTCGCAAGGCGTCGCGTTATTGAACGGAGCGAATGATACTGTAGGTACATTGAATTCCAGTGCTGATAACGATTTATTCAGTAACAAGTTTGTATTGGTGCAGTGCAGTGTGCTTAAATTGTTTACAAAAGAGCCATAACAATGAGCGGTTACGATAACGATGACGTACCAATCTTAAACATTCCATGCAGTGAAAGAATAATAAAATTAAGTGAACTATTTTACAATGCTTTCGGTTGTGAGCCATCATATTTTGTTCGTGTACCCGGCCGTGTTAATATAATTGGAGAACATATTGATTACTGTGGCTATCCGGTGTTGCCTATGGCTTTGGAACAGGATATACTAATGGCGGTTAATGTTATAGAAGAATCAAAACTTTATCTGCGTAATGCAGATACAAAATATAAAGGTGTTGACATGAGTATAAATGCTTATGAAGAATTTAATATCACTCCAGATTCGAGCGGTAAACCATATTGGTACAATTACATTCTTTGTGGAATCAAGGGCGCAATGGAACATTTAAATAACAGTTCATGTAAGGGACTCCAGTTGTACGTTGATGGTAATATTCCACCAGCTTCGGGCTTATCCAGTTCCTCCGCACTTGTAAGTGCAGCCTGTCTATCCTATCTCTACGCTCATAAAGGCACATTAAATAAGACAGCAATTGCTTCCTTATGTGCCAAAAGTGAACGATACATCGGAACACAAGGCGGAGGAATGGATCAAGCTATAGCATTCCTTGCTAAAAAATACAGTGCTCAATATATAACGTTTCAACCATTAAATGCTACACCCGTCGCTTTACCTGAAGACGCCACGTTTGTTGTAGCACATAGTTTAGCTGAAGCCAATAAAGCTGCTACTAATGACTTTAATAGAAGAGTTATAGAATGCAGGCTGGCAGCTAAGATTTTAGCTACTTTGTCAGGTGTTATCAGCGAGGAAAAAGTCATCACTCTAAGTCAACTTCAGAAAATACTTAATAACAGTTTAAACGAAATGAGAGAATTAGTTCTTAAATACATACCAAAAGATATTTATACTAAAGCTGAAATCTGCAAAATTTTAAAAATTAACGAAACTGATTTAGACGAATCGTTTTTAACTAATAATACGAAACACTTGACTGAATTCAAACTAAAACAAAGAGCTCTGCATGTATATGAAGAAGCTCAGAGGGTCGAAGATTTTCGAAAGATATGTACGTATTCTAAATTAGAATCTGCAACGACGAATGGTGCAATAAACGGCGGAACAACTGGTCTCGCTAATAACGACAGTGGTGAAATACTGACTGCTCTTGGGAATTTAATGTCGAAAAGTCATGAGAGCTTGAGAACTCTTTATGAGTGTTCTCATGCAAACTTAGATGAACTCGTCAATATTTCTCGCACAGTGAATATTCATTCCCGGTTGACAGGAGCAGGTTGGGGAGGATGTATTGTCGCTTTATGCCCAAAAGAAATGGTAGAGAAATATATAGATACATTAAAAGAGGAATTTTATGTCAAATATTGTAATTTAGAAAAAAGGAATGCAGACTCCTACATTTTTGCAACAACACCTAACTACGGTGCTTTAATATATAAAAATTTGGTCATTTAATGTTCGTTATCTTTATAGTTTACCAGTATTTTAACATTATTAATTAAATGTACTTTCTTTTAAAAAATTGCATAACTTATAATATATTAAATTTTGTTATAAATACACAATTGTAGTAGTTATTTTAATTCGTATTTTTATTTTAATGCGTAATATAGTAATAATGTAATAAGTTTGATTTGTATATGCAAATCAAAAATCAACAATGTAATTAGTTAAAATAAATTTTTACATTTTACGTTATCTGTGTTTTTATTTATAGAATTTTTTTGTTTAACTAAAATATCTACCTAGTATTTCTTGTACTATCATTTATAAAACCAACATAGTAAACGTTTCGCATCGCAATATCCGCTATAAACTAGTGTTCCTTAAACATCGATAGACTATCGATTAATTGATAGTGTTTGCACTATCGATTCTATCGATAGTCTGGTTAAACTGTCGATTGTCTTCCTTATCGTAATTTTTGTCTATAGTAGATGTTTCCCTTTAGTCTAAGGTCAGAGAAATCCCTGTGAATAAATTGAGTGCGTGTTCGTGTGTGTGCGCGCGCGCGCGCGCGCGCGCGCGCGTGTGTGTGTGTGTGTGTGTGTGTGTGTGTGTGTGTGTGTGTGTGTGTGTGTGCGTGTGTGTGTGAATATCTAATTAATATGTGTGACGCTGACGTAAGTCGCTATTTGTGTGAGTGCCAGAACAGGCGGTTGATCTTGCGTTTTATAGTTTACTGATTTGTTTTGCATTTGACTTCATAATTAATCGAAAATTTATCCTAAAAATCAATCATTAATGTGGAGTTATTTCTAAATAGTGGACAGTAATAGTCCGTTTGTAAAGTGTAGCTTTTATAATCAGGAATATAAGCATTTAGGAAATTTGACCAATCTAAGAGATCACTTGAAAAGGAAAGCATGCCGATAAAATAGATAGGTTAGAATCAGAAAAGGGATCATCGTCTGAACATCAAGTTCAAGATGAAGTGCAACCAAAAAATCTAGAAGTTCTTTTAAGAATTATTTTAATAGAAATCAGTTGTTGAAGACAAAGGCTATTGTGACTCCTTCATAGTTCTACACTAGCCAGTGACAAATTTCGTATTGCTCAAAGACGAGCAAACAAAAAATACAGTAATTACTTATTGTTATTTTTATTTGTGATACCTGCTCAAAGACAATCGATAGTCTATCGATATATCGATGGTCGTATAAGAAACTATCGATTACTATCGAATACTTCAACAATCGATGTTTAATGAACACTACTATAAACTTTTAAAATCTACTACTAGAGGTAACGATAGTACTTTGATCTGTGAAACAAAATATTAAACTACATAGAAACTGCACACCTACCCAATAAAGTTTGGTGTCTTTATGGCACACACAAATCTAAATCTCCAACATTTTTACATTTTATATTTTATAGGTTAAATATATCCATTGAAAAAGTTATGAGTAAAGACAGACGAATTAATTGCGATGCTACCATATCGATATTTTACATCGAATTTCCCTAAGCGAGAAAAAACAAGCATAAACAAAACGGACTCGAACAATTAAAATCATCTGAATTCTTTAGTTTGGTCAACGCAACAAGTCTTTTTGGGGTTCCGTAGTAAAACAACAAAGATATAGTTTCACCAAGTCTATCCGTCTGTACGTCTGTCCGCAGCTTAGCGTAGAGACTATTGGCATTCTAAAGAGCTGTAATTTTGCATGGTTATACGTGAACACCAAAAATAAAAAAGGCTCTAAGTACTAAAACAAAAATTGGTGGAAGTGGGTTGCCTCAAAAACAATCCCAAAGGACAATTTATCAACTCATATTTTAAAATTAACGAAGCATCGTGCTTATGCAAGTTTAAGTTATTTATAATTATAAGTTTTTACAATGTTTATATAAAAGTCATTCGGGCTCTAGAATATGGGAGTCAAAAGAAAGAATTATTATGCGATACGAAATAAACAACATTTTTTATGATATTTACATCACTAGACGCGTTATAAAATGTTCAGGTCAAGACTGGACAGGATTCTTTAGTCCAGTTCAATCCCCAGAAAACATAAGTTTCTGCGTTTTCTGCTAAAAAGAACCCCTTTGTCGTGTCCCCTCAGTTTCAGGGCACTTCTCTTGTTGCCTCAGCCAGTATCGGAATCCTCGGCGTCGACATATCGAATGACGTGCAGGGAAAAGAAAGTCAATATGGCCTCTCTTCGTCTCTTGCGTGACAGCATTTCATGCCGGAATAATGCCTGCAACTTTACAAGGCGCAGGTTCGATCTCACATGGAATAAATAATAATATAATAAATCATTAGATTATTTTCTTTCGGGTAAAATTACTTTGTCGTAGCGCCAATTAAAATGTATGTTGAACATCTTTAAAAGATCGCACAAAGACGAGACCGAGATATCCATTTTTTTTAAATACTAGCAATGCAATTGACAGCATTTATATTCCTTTTAACCACAGTAAGCTAAGAATGCTTGTGTTTGGAGCGGTTCATAACAGTTGTCGAATGGCGGATTACAACCCACAACCTTTTGAGTTCGTGGTCCGCACCCTGCCATTAGGTTACTGTCGCTTACTACACTGTATCCTATCTTATTCTCTAGTAGACTAAATCATATAGATCTATGTATATGCCGTGTAGTGGCGGTCAAGAATATCCACTACCCCATATCCTCCCGTGGGTGTCGTAAAAGGCGACAAAGGGAAACAGGCAGGAGATGGGCAGCAGCATCTTCCTGATAATAGCCAAAATTTGAATAAAAAAACTGCGGTTGCCAACCCGCTCGCCAAGCGTGGCAACTATGGCAAATACCCCCCAATGATTAAAGCAACAAACAGACGGCCCCCAGTCCCCGGCGGCCCCGCTATTCCTGGCTACGGTGGCGACCATGGTAACGGCGGGGCAGGGGGTGCTAAGAATCTCCGGTGGAGGTTCGGTTGCCACCTTAGACGACTCGACCTGGCAACGTACAACGCACGCACCCTGAGGACTGACGAGAAGATCGTGGAGCTGGAAGAAGAGATAGACAAGTTGCGCTGGCATATTATAGGATTATCCGAAGTCCGAAGAGAGGGGGAGGACACGGTAATCCTCGAATCCGGCAACTTGCTCTATCACCGGGAGGGCGACCATCTGTCCCAAGGAGGTGTCGGATTTATCGTCCACAAGTCTCTCGTTAACAACGTTGTAAAGATCGGGAGTGTGTCGACGAGGGTTGCGTACCTTATACTCAGAATCACCAAACGGTATTCGCTGAAGGTCATACAGGTTTACGCACCAACCTCGGCACACCCCGATGAGGAGGTGGAGGAAATGTATGAGGATATCTCTAGAGCCATGCATTCCTCCAAAACCCAATATACGGTGTTAATGGGAGACTTCAATGCAAAACTACGCACAAGAGAGAACGGTGAGCTGAAAGTAGGGAAATTTGGAATAGGGCAACGGAACCCAAGGGGCCAGCAGCTGGCCGACTTCATGGAGAAAGAGGGACTCTTTATGATGAACTCTTTCTTCCAGAAGCGGCCTCACAGGAAGTGGACCTGGTCGAGCCCCGAGGGTTCGACAAAAAATGAGATTGACTTCATTATGACGACCAGACGACAACTGTTAAGTGATGTCTCCGTGATCGCGAGGGTGAAAACTGGTAGCGATCACCGAATGGTTAGAGGCACACTGAACCTAAACGTTAAGTTGGAGAGGTCGCGTCTAATGAAGTCAACGCTCCGTCCCCTCGTGCTCTGTTCCAAAGTCCCGAAACCTTTCAGCTCGAGTTACAAAACCGTTTTCAGTGCCTAGAAGACTGCAATGAAGTGGACGATATGAATGACAAGCTCGTGGAAACTGTCCATGCGGTCGGAGCTAAGTTCTGCAAGACCCGCCGCAGAAGAACACAAAAACTCTCCGATCACACTCTTAATCTCATGGCTGTTAGACGGGAGATGAAGCTACATTCTTCAACAGACTTGACAGCATACAGGCATCTGAACAGACAGATCTCCAAATGCATGCGGCGGGACTTACGCAACTTCAATACAGCTCGTATTGAAGAAGCGATCGAGCGGAACCAAGGCTCCAAAGTCTTTGCCAGAGATCTGTCTGTCAGAAAGAGCCAACTGTCAAAGCTGAAGACAGAATGTGAAGAATCGTTTTCGGGACACCTGAGATTTTGAGTGAGATTGAGAGGTTCTATGGGCAGCTGTACACGTCATCGTTGGAGCCACTCGCAAGTGTGAGTAACGATCCCAGAGCGAGTCTCATCCGACACTATTCCGAAGATATCCCGGACGTCAGTCTGAGCGAGATTAGAATGGCTCTCCAGCACCTTAGGAACGGTAAGGCCCCAGGCGAGTATGGAATTACAGCGGAGCTTCTGAAAGCGGGTGGAAGACCGGTACTTGAAGTCCTTCAGAAGCTCTTTAATTCCGTCCTCCATGGTGGCTTTACACCGGAGGCGTGGAGCAGAAGTGCGGTGGTCTTGTTCTTCAAGAAAGCTGACAACGCTCTCTTGAAGAACTACAGACCGATTTCCCTTCTGAGCCGCGTCTACGTGCTGTTTTCGAGAGTCATTACGAATCGTCTCGCGCGCAGACTTGACGACTTCCAGCCTCCCGAACAAGCCGGTTTCCGAAAGGGCTTTAGCACCATAGACCACATACATACCCTTCGGCAAATTGTACAGAAGTCCAAAGAGTACAATTTGCCACTATGTCTGGCGTATGTGGACTATGAGAAAGCCTTTGATTCCGTCGAAATTTGGGCGGTGCTGCAGTCCTTTCAGCGGTGCCAAGTTGACTGTCGGTATATCGAAGTGTTGAAGTGTTTGTACAGTAAAGCTACGATGGCTATCCGAGTACAGAACCAGAGTACGAAACCTATCCAATTGCAGAGAGGTGTAAGACAGGGTGATGTCATATCCCCGAAACTCTTCACCGCTGCATTGGAAGACGTTTTCAAGCTTCTGGACTGGAAAGGATACGGTATCAAC